GGCGTGGGGCGACAATCGGGCCCCTGACCCGGGGAGCGGCGGGGGCGAAGGTCAAGGCCTCGGCGCGGGGCGGACACGGAGCTCCCCCCCCCAAGGTGCCTGTGACTTCCCCAGGTGCAGCTGCGGAAGACTGCGTTGGGAGGTCCTTCATGCCAAGTGGCAGTCCTCTGGACGCGTCGTACTGTTTAAAACGCCCTTATGATTTTTGAACTTCAGATCACGAAATGGATTCGCGTGAACCGGAGACCCAGTAAACGAAAACGAAGAGAGAAGAGGGAAGTGTTTGAAAAGGTAGGGGTCCTGAAAGATAGCACCAGCTGGATGGATTTGGTGACGAATCCCTACTTCTTGCTTCTTGGGGACTAGCCACAGCAATAGAGTAGGACCTTGGCAAAAAGTTCAACGTATTTTAAAACATTCAATCTACAGTGAACAAGTAGACTTATTCTACTTGGGTAGTTCTGTAGAGATACTGGATGATATTCATTAAAGTCGTCAGCATACTGTGCATTTGTGATTAATGACCTGGGGATTGAGATTTGTTAGTACTTTATTTAAGCAATAGAGCTCCATGGATTCCATTATTATATTAGACTGGAAATGTTTGTTATTGCCACATTAAGGTTCCTAGGGAAAAGAAGTATTGTGAACAAATTGCCCATAGTATTAGATTTCTATATTTGTGATCGACCTAATAGCACTTAGACTTTTAACTTCACTGTCTCAGAAGAGAGAGACAAATAAATGCACTACTTTGAAACACTAGAAGGGATTTTATTTACTGTAAAGAAATGAGAAATCTGCTTTTCTGAATTTAGAATTTCAGTATGTTGTTTTGCAGTTTGAATTACAACTTTTGACCGGAAATTCTGTTAAATAAAAAATTGGTTTGTTACTATAATAAATATTATGAAATAAGGTAAGTAAGCTTTAATTTCTAAGTGGCTTTCCTTGGAAACTCCTACAAGGGAATGCTGTTTTTCAAACATCGAAGCAGATAGGATTTTTGTTGCTTTTGGTTAATTTAATTGTTTTTAAAATTTTATTATTCTTGATAGCACGAGGGATTAAAATAGCAGTGGGTTGTTTTTCTGTTGCTAGAATGTGTGATGAATCACCCCACTATCTGAAGCCAAATTCTTGCTGATAGCATTGCTGCCAATTTCTGTGATATGCTGCCTTAGTATGGGCATTACAAGTGGCCGAGAATGTGCACAAAGCACATCATAATGAAGGTGATACCAGAGTTTCAGAGTGCATTCAAGGATACGACCGGGAGAGTTGGAAAAAGAACTGGTTTGAGAACATAGTCATTTGAAGCTAGACGTTCATTCAGTGTGTGGAAAAAGTGATGTCCATCACTTCAGTTAAGCAGTAACAGAAAAAGTTCATTCTGAACATACTTGGTGTTTCTGACTATACCTCAGCGTGTTATGATAGATTTGTGTTTAACTTTCATGCTTTTTGGTGGTTTTAAAACATTGGTGAGGTGATGAGATCATAAAATATTCCCCAAAGAACAAACAGTTTGCTTAGCATTTCACATGTTTTCTAGCTGTTGCTATTTCTATTTTAATCAACAAGATTATCCCAACTCATATTGCATGGTGCACAAAAGAAGTAGCAGCCGCCACCTTTGTGGACCAGTGACTACCTTTATTTTGCACTGGAAGTAGCCTTATCTGTGACACCCTTGGTGAGCCCACCATGTCTTTTGAGCTCACCTTCCAAGGGAAGTTTCTCAGAACACCCCCACCCACCCCCACCTCTTTCACCTTGATAGAGGCTGTTATATTAGAATCACAGGCATGATGGGCACCTGACCTTTCTTAGCAAATGTGGGCAGCAATTTTAAAGAGGGTCTGAAAATGAGGACGATGGGGACCAAGATTCAGAATTTCCTTTCACGGAATAAAGCTAGTGTGAAGAGGAGTTGGTGGAGGGCCAAGTAGATGGGAAATTTCAGGGTCATCTCAGTGACCATAAATTGCCAGTGTCTTTAGTCAGTGTCAGGTTACCCAATAAGTAAGGTAAGCATAGGTTTGCTTGTGCATGCTTGTTGATCCGTAGTGAACAGTTTGACATTTTTTACTTCTTCAAAGAATCCCCTTCAAGGTAGAAGGGGAGTCTGTTTCTTGAAACCCCTAACATCTTCCTAAACAATCAGAGCCTCTTCAAAGTGAGAATCCCTGACAGGGACAGAGTACCGAGGCAAGATGGTGCACCTGTGCTTACTTCACAATCTGTAGGAAACCCTTCCACATGCTATTCACCACATTCTGTGTTGGCTCCAGACTAATAAGCAAGGTCAAGTACGCTCAGACTGAATGTGCTTATTGAGTCGTACTTCACCCCCTTCTCCAGTCGTTTTCTCCTACCTCCAAGCAGCCCCATCAAAGCTATTTGCTGATTGTTTTGCCCTGCCACACCTAGGAGAGAGCATTCAGGGCTAACTGAGGCAAAGCACTGGGGTTTTCAAGGGCAAGATGAAAGGGAGTGAAATTCTTGACTGAGGGCTTTGGGAGGATATCCTGAGAGACATTGAAGATAGCCTGCGGCTAGTAGTGGAGTCCAGCTGTCTTGTCCAAAGTACCCAGGGAGTTCTGTGTGGTAATTAGCATTCCAACTAACCTTTTGTTAGGCATTCAACCTGAGAGTGGAAATCTAGGGAGTTAACTTCCTTTTGGTTAGTGAGTGACTTTTTTTTTATGTCTGGCATGTTACAAATAGAAGCAAAATTTTTCTCCTTTCTCGTGTGTTCACCATGATTTTTCTCCTATGTTAAAACATTACTTTCTACTTTTGTTCATCTTGTATCCCTGTAAGATAAGGGGATGAGTTTTCGTCTTTCCATGGAGGTATTTATTTCAAATCTAGTCCTTGTCTTTAGGTGTCTGTTTTCGTTTCCTTGCTCCATTCCTCCATTCCCTGCTGCCCTTATTCAGCCTCACTCCCCTAGTCTGTGTCTGCATCTTCAGACCCCTCTCAGGACTCAGCCTAGAAGAGTGAGCATAGCATTCTTTGTCCTACAGGAGGTGTATTAGTCCGGGTACTTTAGAGGAACAAATCCACAACAACTCATGTATAAGGGAGAGTTTTATATAAAGGGTAAGTGCGCATCGAGAAAACATTCCAACCCAGTGCTGCCCAAGCCCACAAGTCCAACATTACATTAACGCATTAACCCATATGTCCAACACCAGTCCACAAAGTCCTCCTCCATCTCACAAAACAGACTCGACATTGCCGGCTGCAGGAGGAAAGCTGAGTCCGTGAATGTGTAAACATCTCAGCGCTGGCAGGGGTCTCCACACGGGTGCTCTGGCACCCAGGGCTGCATCGGGGTAGGTCCATGTGGCTTCTCTTTGGGGATGTCTTTCAGGAAGTCAGCCTTGCCAGCTGAAGCAGGGAACTGCTAAGGCAGCTGCACCCTGGTGCGACCATCACAAAGCAAGAGACTGGAGAACTAGAAAGTCTAGGCTCACCAAGCCATTTATCCCCCCGCCCTTCAATTAATCCCACATGTGTTTATTGGCCAGGGTGGCACAATAAACTAACTCAGGAGGGTACTTTTACAGACTTGTGGAAAACAGAACCTTTGGACTGGCCTGAGAATGGAAAAATAACATCGGCGGTGAGAGACCAGAATCTGAAAATGGGCACTGGGTAAGGAATCGCCCATAAAGAATGTGATCTTAGAGGAGCTATTTGTTTTCCCCTTTAAAGGAAATGTTGAAGGTGCTTAAGTGGTAGGCATAGTCTGCTGTAACTTGAAATACTAGTTGAGTTTTCCAGTGAACTCAGGAGAGGAAACAAAACAAACTTCCCCCGTGCTCCCCTATGGGTTAAAATCACGAATAATGAAATGTGGGCCACTGACTGAGGGAGAGGAACCACCCAGAAAAATCACTGCAAGACCTGCCTCCCTTGACCTTTCCCGGCTTCCTCCACCCTCTGCTCTCTGCTTCATCCTGCCCACCAGGTTGCTGTACTGTTTTCCTGTCATATCAGAGCTTGCGTTTGTCATCTTTCTGGTAGTATATAATTATCTCGTGTACATTTCATATCTACTCTGATACTTCCATTTTCAAAAAACAATACTGGGTTTTCAGTAAAGTTTACAAACAAGTTAGGTCCCCATTTAACATTTCCCATACTTGTTCAGGAGCTCTGTTGGTACAGTGGGGTATGTGTTGGGCTACTACCATCAAGTCACTGGTTCAAACTCTGCAGCTGCTCAGAGAAAAGGGGAGACTAGCAGCTTTTGTGTATTTACGGTCTCAGAAGCCCTAGGAAGCAGATCTGTGCTGCCCTGTGAGGTCACGGTAAGTTGGCACCCGCCCGGTGGCAGTTGCTCAGAGACACTGGTTATATTTTTCATAGTGTTTTAACTCTCTGTAATCCCCTTCTGGGTGTTTTACTGTAACACGTATTTCTACTTTATTTGTGCTTCATCTTTTAGCTCTTTTTAAGATGGTGAAACAATACTTTTACAACCTTTTTGGGTTTCTTCATTTTAAACTGTAAAGCATCTCTGCTCTGGCCCTTAGTATATTCTGTTTACCTTTTGATTTTTTCCCCTTGTTGTTTCAAGTTCCCTTTATTTAGTTGGATTAATTTTTGCTGCTGAAAAGCAAGAGGAACATAGGCAAGTACACAAAGAACAGTTAAGAAGAATGGATCAGTAAGCTCTGCGAGGGGCAGGATAAATAATGGTGATTGCAATAGTGAATTATATATCTTTTTTTTAAATCATGTTAAAAGATTTTACTAAATGGCTTTTGGTTTTAGAAAAAGACTTTTTTTTTGTTTCTGTTTTTGTATATAATCGGTTTAAAGAATTTATGCAGTGCAAAGATGGAGAATAATAACTGCTTTTCTGAGTTCTCATAATGCGTTTACCAGTATTCTGAGAATTACAAAATATTATAAAATATTTTATGGAATAGTAGATTTGAGGAAACTCCAGATAAAAGATATGACTGCTCTATCGGAAGGGAATTTCAATTTTCATATTCAAAAGAAGCATCCTTTCTAGTTTAGATATATCTAATAATATGCAAAGATCAAATTTTATAATATTCTTTTTTGGTCATCAGTGAGTACATGTAATGTCAGAAGTATTCTTTGGCTAATCTTCAAAACACTGAGAATTCCATAGTAGTAAGGCTGAATTACAATAATAACAAAGGATCCTTTATGGCATTAGTTTGTCCCAAGTAAGTGGTCTTGGTGAGAGTGTGGCTGCCTGACCTGTGGTACAGTTAGCCAGAAGGAACACAGAGTATAAA